TTTTAGAGTCATCTACGGCTCAAAAATGCATAGAATAAGAAACCAACAAAATAAGTGCAAATATTGAAAAAAACTTTACAGCTTTCTGTGTTCTATAAACAGAATTCACAGAACTTAAATTTCTTGTGTAATAAAGTATTTTTAAAGTAATTTGAGTCTTGCAGCAGTTGTTATGATAATTTAAAATGACAGTTTCAAATAGTATTCATTTCGTCCAAGGTTCTTCATAATTAGATGACAATTGAATTTTCAATTAATTTCAAAAAATCCAAGCATTTTGCCTACAGTATACGTTATTAGTATTACTAATATCTAGAACAATTAAACACATTAGGTCTGACTACATACTAAGGTTTTCACTACTTAATTCAAATAAACACTTGTATTTCACGGAATTGTCAAAGCCCTTCACGTGTAGTAACTCAAGAAAATAACGAAAGATGGTAAACAAGATACAAAATTATGCTCGAAAAATTTTTATATTATTTAATGTGTCTTCATAATTGTGTATTTGAAGTAAAAAAATTTTTTTTTAAATTTAAACGCATGCAGGATGTAGATATCCACAATGAGATCGGTTTTAGGTTGAGTAAATAGATTTTCATACACAAAAACGCACATTCATGTACATTCTTTACTTATTAATTTTTATTATTATTATTTTTTTAGTTTTTAAATATTTATCATTATCAGGATATAATTTATAGGATTCTTCTTTTATTTTTATATAATAATAATTTTGATTTTAATAAAATTACGATATACACACCCGTACAATAATAATCACCCACAAAGTAAATAAATATACATTCATACAAACGTATAAATTTATAATATGATTTTATTTTATTTAAAAATGTAGGTGTATGAATATGTAAATGTGTATGTATGTATGTACATATATGGTAAAATTTAATTTTTTTCTTTTTGTATTTTTGTTTTTATTGTCGGATTATTACGGGTTTGATCAAATTACGGGCGGTGTCATAAGAATTTGACTATACACATATGTACCTACACTATACATATTTAGCCGTTCTATACACTTTTGAAATCTGGTTGAGGCAGTTTTTAATAATTTTAAATCAAAACATGCTTTTAATGACATTTTATGTCGGCAATTTATTCGTAAACCACATTGAAACATGTACACACTAGCAATATTTATGCTAAACATTGTGGTCAGAGAGCGTTCTGATTTAGGTCTATACAACAAAACAATAAAAAAAAAAACAAACAAAAAAAACAAGAGAGAAACCATAAATAAAAATTGTACACAACAACAACAACAATAACACAAAAAAAATCAGGAAGCAAAACAAAAAAAAAACAATTGAGCATATAAAAAAAAAACTGTAAAATAAAAGCAATAATTTTACCGTTTTAATTTATAATTTATAAATTTTTATCCTAGAAATGCCCATGAAATTTAAAAATTTATATTGCATTTTTTCAGAAAGTTATGAAAAATATTAAAAGTTTATACTTATTCAATTATCATCTAGAATAAAAATTTGACTTTTTAATAACCGGAAAGGTGTTTCTGTCCAAAGCAAAAAAATTTAATTTAATATTTAATGTATGCCATACACTCACACTAGTGCAAATAAAATTGTGTGTTATCTAAAAATTTTTTTGGTAAATTTTGATTTGAAAATTTAAAAAAATAAATTTGTAAAATTTTCTAATCATACTGACTGTATACTATGTAAGTACTTACATACATAAATTTATATATTGTCACAAATGCATATTTAAATACTGAAAATAAAAATATAATATAGGTGTATGATTTTATTGTAATTAATTTAACAGTATTAAACAGAGTGATCGTATAATTTTAATGTATAAAAATTTTATTATAAACCAACCATAACGATTTTGTAGCAACAATTTCTAGCCATATTATTTTAAGAACCAAATTCGTCGCCTAAGTTCTATTTTTCTCCATAAGGTTCTGAATCTGTATTGGTAAGGAGCTAACTATTAACTATTAATTTCATTCTTTTGCTTCAAGAATCACATTTACCAAATTTTTCATTGAACGTCGTAATTTCTTTAGTATTAGCCATCAGCATTTCATTATTTTGTGAACCCTGCTTCACGGTCATCTCTTCAATCATGTAATAAAAAAATATTGCTTATTTTTTTTACTAATAAAAATTTTTAGTTTCCTTTTATTAGTTATTATTTCACGCCGTGGTTTCCTAATAACTGTTTGTTCATTTATTAATTATTGAACTAATACTTCATCTCATAAATTTTGACTAAAATAATTTTAGGAATAAATATTTCATATATCATTTTTAATATCTAACTAGCGATTATTTTTTCTGACTAGCGAATGTTTATTGTATTGTTGCAAATCTTACGATATATGATAAGGCAAGTTGGTAACAATTAAAGTATACTTTATTTTAAATTTTTTACATTTGAAATTAAAATTTAACATTTTAAAATAAGCTGAAACAATTGCGCTGAATTCAAAAACTTAAAAATGTAAAACCCTTCAATATATTATAAATAAATTATTAATTAAAATTCAAGTGTTATGACAAACGTTAACTGCACTAAATGTGAATCTTTAATTTTTCTTATTATATTTTTCTTGCTAAGTAAAATATAGTATGCACTTGCATTCAATTACATATTAATTAATTACACACGCAAATTTTTACACACACACACGAACACAATTAAGAAAAATTTGTACAAATTTGACATATTAGCCCTATTTTTTAACCATAATATTTTACAATTACAATAACTTTTAACATCAAATATTGTTGTTATTTATGACAAATGAATTATGTTTGTATATCCGAAAATATAAAATATTAAAATAAAATAAATTTTAATATTTAAATCATGATTTATTATTATATAATTTTACAATTACAACTCTGTTGTAATCCATTAACATTTTATAATGTTACAAACAAAAAACGAGAAAACATAGAGTTGACCGTGTCAACTCGGATGTGATACTCGTAAGAATATTTTCTATAGTTTTTCTTTGCGCTTTAAAATTTGTAACGTATGAGTAAATTGTTTTTTAAAACTGTTTAGTATGCACAGTATGTACTAGCACAGCTGCGTCGTCATTTAAACATTATAGCCTTTGGTTTCCAATATAATATCAAATTATAGTCATTGATTATATTTGAGAATTTTAAAACAATTGCTACCCTATTACTTTAATTATTTGTGTTTTATTTGAATAGCTGCTTTTTAAGAACTCATACAAGCAGCACTAAATTTTGTCGAATTATTGAATCTGCTGCCAAAGTCATTTATGCAAACTTTAATAACTCAATGCTTGTCGATTTCTATAATATGATTTTTAAAGTTATATGGCAGCTAAAATCGAACTGATACCGTAATAAAACCGAAATTAAGTAAGATGTCTAGGATATCCTTTACAAGCAATTTTGGAAAGTAGCTCAAATGCGTTTTTATGATACTAAGACGGATGTACGCCCATCCAAGATATTGCACATTCAATTCAGAATTCGGCGCTGATCAAAAACATGTGCTTACTGGTTTCTGTATATGAGACATCTTATTCTTAGCATTACAAACGAAATGGTAAATTTGTAATATTTTTCAAATGTGTATGTACGTACAATTATAAAAGAGAAAAATAATTAAAAAAAACAAGAAAAAACTAAAAATTTTTTATTATATTATTCGCTTATCAATTCACAATAATAAAATAAAATTAGAAAATTTAACAAAAATAACCTAACAAAATCAGAGTATCCCACAAAACAGAAATTTCATAAGTGAAATATTAAAAAAAGAAGAAAAATTAGAAAAAAAAACAACAACAGCAAAAACAAAAAACCAACCATCTAATTTTATTTTATATAAATATTAAATAGCTACATATAAGTATATAGCGGGCTCTTTTTTCATATTATATACAAAAATATTGTTATAGATATAATGAAAATCTAATCAACAACTACAGCCTTACCATATGCAAATAATTAATTTATGATTATAAAAAGGTTCACAACAGAAAAACAAGAACAAAATTAAAAAATAAATAAATTTAAAATTTTGTTATTTCGATCTATACGCACACACACAACATACATGATTACAATATGCATATAAAAATATCGCCTACCAATATGCAAAATTTGTGGGTGGTTATAAATTATATTTTCTATAATATTATTATGTAGAAAAATCATCATTACACAAACACATCCTACACCAATTTTTCATCAAAGTGTGAGAAATTAAAATTTATGGTTTTGTTTATCATTATTATTATTATTAGTTATACTCGTATACGCAATATTATAAAATTTAATATAAAATTTTTAGATTTATTTTCATAAAAAAATTTGTGCAAAAAAAAAGATAATTTTTAATTTATTTATAATTTTTGCTGATTAGAATAATGTTTTATTAGCATCTATATTTTTTAATAAATATTATTTTTATATACACATATTATGTATGTGTATAAACTTTTAATTATAATATTTAAATTGAATAAATTGTTAGAGAAATGATTTACACTTGAAAAAAATTTTAGTAAAATTTAGAAAGAGAATCGTATATAAAAAGAAATGTATACGAAGGAAAAATAATTTTGTAGGATTTAAAGCAGCACTTAAACCTAATGTTGATTAAGATTATACTCAATTTTTGAAATACAGTCATAAAACCTTCAGAATCTCCATGTCTTTCATTGCCTTCATAAATTCTAGGAAATTCTGTTAGTGTCTACTAAAATTTTGGTTTTAAACCAAATTTCTTGCGCCTTAAGAACTACATCAAGCAATAAATTATAGCATTTTTTTTGCAAATTACGTAGTAAACTGCCAAAAGCCAAAAACTTTAAGAAGTTACTGTAATTTCGTACCAAAATAGCTATATAATATTTACACAAAATAAATTAAGCATTTTTACCAAAGCTTTATAGCAAATCTTAAGTCCATTTAAAGACTTACATAAATTGGAAAAATGCATTTTCATTACAGACATGTCTCAATTTGGTTTAGGTGCAGCAAATACACACTGGGGTTATGGTTCTGCGAGTGCTTATTCACCTTATCTATCATCATGTACGACTCCTACATCAGCACAATTTAACAATCCAGCGTTAGGTTTTAGTTGTTCACCAACTGAACAGGGTAATAATCAAGATTATTCTGGAACGAATCGGGATTGTGTACCAAGTAATTATCTTAAACTTTTAAAATTTGTGTCAGACAGGATTTTTAATTATATATTTCATTTTTACTTATTTCACTTTATTAGTGTTACCCGATTCAACAGCAACCGATTTAGATCAACATTTATCAAATTTAGTTGGATCAACAACCGGATCTAGTCAAATGACACATCCAAGTCTATTGTCAGGTTCTTCGCAAACATCGATTTCTTCAACAGGTAAAATTTTATTTTGGAAAAAGTAAATTAGAATTTCAATATGAAAAATTTTTTTATTTAAATTTTATATTTTTCTTTGTTTCTATGTTTTAACAGTTCCACGTTACTCGAATTCAAGTAACGAATATAATGTTCATTCAAGTCAAAATGGTCCAAGAAGTCTAAGTGATTCATCACAGGCCGAATCTCCAGTTCAAGAGGATCTTTTAAGTTCTAACACACCAAATTTAGGTGGTAATAATGGAAATGGACATGGAAATAATGGTCAGATATTTCCGGGAGCTGTCAATCAAAATCCTAATTCATATAGTTCTAGCGGTGGTGGTGGAGCAAATAATCATTCAAATAACAATAACAACAATAATGCTGGAAATAATAATAGTAGTGGCAGTGGTTGTAATGGTTCATTATATCCAGTGTTACCAGCAAGTTTACTATATACACAACTTTATACAGCAGCTAACCAATCACATGGTTTTCATTCGCATTCAATACCATCGCATGCATCACCAAATTCAACAGTTCATGGTGAATTACAAACTGTTATGGATCATATTAGTACAGTTGGAGCACGCCATAATCAACATAATTTAATGTCAATAGGTGGTATTGGAGGCGGTGGTGGTGGTGTACCAGGAAATACACATGATTTAACTTTAGTTGGCAATTGCGGTGCTTCTGTACGAAATGGAGAAGATGTTGTTGGTGGTCGTCAAGTTGCATTAGGTGGACATCGAGGACATCATAATCAAAATGATAATGGCGGGGTTTGGCGACCATATTGAAATCGATTTTATTGGTAGGTAAGTTTAATTATATTGCATTAGTATATTAAGTAAATATAATTATAAAAAATTTTTAATGTTATAACAAGAAAACAGTAGAATTAATAATAAAATATTAATGAATTAAGAAAATAGAATTGTAATTTTGTTGAAAAATCATTAAAAAAAAATAATGTAAATAAATCGAGTCATAATTATTAAAATATTATTTAAATCGTCCGAAAATAGAAATTTAAAAGTAAATCTCTTTATAGATATTAAATAAGAAGAAGATTCTTTAAAAACTTAAAAAATATTTCAGATTCATAGCTAAATTAACTTTAAATTTAGTTATGCTTAATACGTGTATAATAACTTTAATAGCATTTGAAAATTTTATTTTTCTATTGAAAATTTGAATAATTCTAAAATCAAAAATTCTTTTTCTTCGAATTAAATGCGTTATATTTGCAGATTTTTCGAACAATTCTAGTACTAATCAAAAACTTTATTGGCATTGCAGTGTATGACATTTAAGTGCATTAAATTAATTTTAATTCAGACCATTCATAGCACATTCTTAATAATACTGTAATTAGAATTTAAGTTTAATTTGAAAACCGTTGGCAATTAATCTGAAAATTTTCTTCTTTTATAAACTTTCAATCAGAAGGCAACTTTTAAACTCATTATTGACATTTTAATTTCCCTTATTTCAAAATTTGGTAGCTCAAATTATTCTTGGGCTTGTATATAAACTTTTCATTTTCATAAGTTTCTAGTACAATTAAAATTTAATCGAGAACTTTTTGTTTAGAATTGTTCAAATTTTCAAAATGAAAGAATACAAATAAATTTTTTTGTAAAAATCAAAACATAAAAATAATATCAGTGAAAAAAATATTAATTAAATATAGGAAAAAATATTTGTGATTTTATGAAATAATTTTTTTCATAAGGAAAAGTTTAATTATAAATAAAAATTTGAACAGTATAACAATTAAGTACGATTATAAGAATAATTAAAATTAAAAACTTAACAATATTGAAAAATGTAGATTTTATCTTAAAAGAAAAATAACATATTTTATCAGTATAAAACGTCTATAAACCAGAAAATGGAAAATTATAAAAAATAATTTTGTAAATTAAAATTTTAGCTATAAAATAAATAGGACTAGTATAATTAAAATTGCTTTGCTTAAATTAAAGAGCGCTCATTAAAATTAACAAAAATAATAATAAAATAGAAACCTTGCAAAAAATTGAAAAAATTTAATATAAATTTTAAATTTCCCGCTTCTTATTACATTTAGATATTGTATTTTCAGTTTCTTACTTAATTTATTATTTTCCGTGCTTAAAATTTCGTATTATTTAATCACTTAAGAAATTCTTAGTTTTAAAATTTGCGTGGTACCCAGCGATATACGTACCCAGTGTAAGTTGTAAACCACAAAATGTAATATTTACAATAATTAATATTTTCCGGCTTTCCTGTGTATGCAGCTTGATCAATTCTACAAAATTTTTTTTAACAAATAAATTTCTACTTTTTGTCAATATTTATTTGAATTTTTTTTAAAAAATAATATTTTTTCTCCCAAAAACATTGTACATGTACTTGAATATTATGCTTTCTATTAAACAAATTTCGAACTCGATTTAAAAAAAATTACTTCAAATATCAAGGCTTCGGATTCTACTAAAGGAAAACTATAATTTACAAAGGAAAATTATATTATATTATATATTTTCTTTATTAGTTTTCAAAAACCCCATAAAACACGCGATTATTTTTTATAATTTTGTTATTTAAATATTCAAATAAAAGGCATTCAAAACTAGGTGAATCAGCTTGCTAACTTACCATTGACAAAGCATAGCGTCATATGTGCTATAAATATTAAAAACTCCTTTTCGTGATTAAGCACTTAGTTTATATTAAAAAAAAAGTTGTTCTTTGAATCAACGAATAATTTGCGACAATTATCCCAATATTAGTATATTTGTCCCAGCGGTAAACTAAAAATTATTTTACTAAATTCATAAAATTGTAATATATAAAGGCCCAAAAGCGTGTTTAATTTCAACTTATAATACTTCGGATCAATTCGAAGGTATAGAGTTCAAATTACTACCAAGCAACTTAAAAAAGTATTTATTTATGTAAGAAAATAAGGGCTACTTTGGTCAAATTTAGTGCAAATATAGTTTTTTTTTTCTGCATTTTTACAACTCATTATTTAATAAAATTACTAAAAATATTTGACTTTTAAAATTTATTTATTTTTTTTTAATACATTTAATTTATTCTTAACAAATTCACTCTTAAAATACTCGCATTTTCTCTCTTATACTTTAGTCCTAAATAACACCTACATATTATACCATATACAAAATTACTGTAATATGTAATTAAACCTAATTATTCCTTAAGTTTGTTAAATTTTAAATTAAATATTAAAAAATATAAGTAAAAAAAAAAAACACAAAAAAAAAACAGAAATGGTTTTTTTTTCTCTTTAATTGTTAACACTTTTTTTGTATAAATTGACGACGAAATAATTTTAAATTAAATGAAAAAAAGAAAAACTAATCTTAAGTATAACTAAATTATTATTATAATATAATATCAATTTAGAATATTATTAAATAATAATAGAAAGAGCGTAAATAAGTTCCTAATCTGTTTGCTAATGCGAATTTTTTCTGTTAAATAAATTTTGAAAAGAAAAAAAAAACAACAAAAATTAAATAAAATCCTTAAATACCCATGGAATTTTTTTTGCTATATTTACCTACATACATACCTACTCTTAAATCCTATATATATATATATATAAATACTATTACTATAAATAATATAGAAAGAGGACCTTTTAATAAATTTAATTCAAAACAATAAATTGTTAATTAATATTTAAATATTTTATTAAAATTTCAATATTAATTTAAAATTACTTTTTACTTAAATTTTTTTTTGTTCATAAAATATTAAACGAATCCTCCCAATTTTCTCATATCAAAACTTAGTGCAACTTTTATTATAAAAATAATTAAATATAAATAAATAAGAATATAAAAATAAATTAAAGAATGTGCAAAAAAAAATTTAATTTAAAAAATTTTATTATCTATATATTTAAAGAAGAGCAAACCATTTTCATCTAGTCAATAAGTGAAATTTATCAAGTCTATTATATGAAACAACATTTATAAAATAAATAAATAAGTTTAAAATGTATGTGTTTAAAATTATTTAATAATATTAAGTTAGAAAATTTTATTGTAAATATAAAATTAATTTAATATATAAAAAATATAAAAAAAAAATAAAATTAATAAAAAAAAAAATGAAATTTCATTGTTTAGCTTTTAAGAAATTCAGGAAAAAAAAATTAAAAATTTTAAAATTAAAATTAAAAAAAAATCTAAAAAAAAAAACTCATAGTATTGTTTAAAAATAAAATAAAAATACAAAAAATATAACTGTATAATGAAAATAACAACAAAAAAACAATCCTGTTTTATTTTATTGAATTTTTTTAAAGGCTATAGTGAAGATTTTTAACTCTTAACTGATATCGCGTTTTTCAATTCATTCAACAGATGAAAAGAGAATATATTAGAAAGGAAACTATTAAAAAATCTATTAAATCTCTACTTCTTATTAAATATTTGAAAAAGAAATATTATTTCATTTTTCCTTGTTACACACGTACGAACTTATATTCGGAATGCATCTTTCTTACCCTTACCGTTTGTAACGCTAAGAAACAGCGATCTGAAATGCATGCATATTATGTAGTATTTTTTGATAAGCGTTGAATTCTGCGACAGTTTAACCATGTCCGTCCATCATTTCTAACAACAGAAATTAATCGAGCTGGTTTCACAAAATTTTTTCAAATGATTTATTATAACAAATAAGGTAGTTAAGGTAGCTGCACCAAAAATCAATTTTCTATATCTCAGGAATTATTAAAGCTATAATATCGAAATTTTATACAAGCAAACATTTTATTAGAGCTGTTAAATTTTATAAAACTAATTAAAATTACTTGACTCATGGTGAAAGTTATATTGTGAAAACTATTGAAATTACAGTAATGAAATTTTGTATAAACGTATTTGATAATGTGGCCTTTATCACAGTAAAATTTTTTAAGATGGTATGAGTTTATCTGGTATCTATACTATATTCATATTTATAAAATACGAGTAGCATTATAAATACAAAAAACAAGCGGTCGTGTGAAACAGTGCGGCAATCATCATACAAGGCTTAAAATTATTCATTCGTACAGGTATCACAAACTTGACGCGTTTAACTCAACGTATTATCATATATTATATTATATTATAGAGTTAAGTTGATGAAAAAAAAGATACAGTGAACATCTTTGAATGAACGGCCTCCATGAAATCAAAAAAAAAAAAATTAACGTTGTAAATTTAGATTACAAAATTTTTGACAATCAATTTATTGAAAATTCTTCCAAAAAACATTAGAAAAACCGTAAAATTTTTCACTATATTTAAAAAAACGCGAAATATAAAAAATCTAAAAATTCTTTTATTCTTCACCACCATAGAAGGTACTCATTTCATTATTCAATTCATTTTTAATTTCTTTTTCGCTTAAAATTTGTGATATATTTTCAAATTAGTGCAAACACAACAGTGCTATTTAGCTAAGATAAAACAAAAAGTTCAAAAGTTTTCTTTTTTAGCCATACTCTCAATTTTAAAGTTATGGCAGAATCGTTTTTTATAATATAACCATAATTGGGCCAGAGTTTTTAATAAAAAATTAATTTTCCAGTACGATTCCCAATAGAGCACTGAAAAATTTTGCAAATTTTATATAGAATATAAAATACTTTAAAAGTTTCAAGGATTAATTCATATATTTAAATTAACTTCACTTGAATACTCGTATAACTTATCACTCAAATCGTAACTTATGCATTACGTAAACGAAAAAACTTGTTGAATCCGATGACATATGTATGGTAGGTTGCAAATTTTATCATTCAAGAGTTTACGATACACATGTAGCAATCCTCGATTCATAAATAAAAACTTAAGAGTAGAAGCTTTCCATAACAACCAACCTTGTAATCCAATAACTTCAACAAGAAAGATGGAAAAAGGAAAATTTGCTTCTCCATTACAATAAATAATTAAAACATGACGCTTTTAGAACTAGAGAGGGGAAAATAGGTAACAATTTGCTTCCACGAAATTCGGTAAAGATCTATTTACAAATGTAAAA